TAAAATGAAGGGCATATGCCATCGTCAGAACGGTGGCATGAGAACGATCAATGGAGAAGGCACGTATGCTCAGACATGGAAAAGTAAAGGGTAGAAAGTCAAATGATGAGCATCCTAAGGGGTAATGCCGTGCGGTCTAAACGATCCTTATTCCCCGTGGATCTACATAAGGCAAGAGATAAAAGAAGGTAGTCTTATGCCCAAAAGGCATAACAATTAGAGACCTTGTTTTGAGCATACGTACAATACGATCATGGATTTAACAGCAAATCGTATAGGAATAAAGAATTACACATTCTACCTTTTCTTTTCATATCTAGCGGAGGTTTTTTTACCTGTTATAATCTACTAAATGGTATGAAATAACTGGAAAAAAAAACCTAATTGATGATGTTACATCAAACAAGACCTTAAAAGTTGAATAGTGGTACACTTTATCATCTTTTCTTGTCAGCCACTTGAGCCATTACAAGTAGACTAATTTTCTTTGTTTCTCAATCTCATGAATGACGGTTGGGAATAATGACATTAGGATATGGCCATCACAAATTTGCGATGTAGTCATTTAGATTGCAACTCAAGTAGACTAAAAGCCCAAAAAGCATGAAGATGCAAGTAGACCCAACTCTTGCTTGAGCTGGCTCCATAACACATTTCACTGACAATAAAAATACATCTTACATACATCTAAATTTAGTTTTCTCACTTTTATTTTCATTTCTTACTTTTAAATCTAAATTTCATATATGACTCAAATTCGATTAAATCAACTCTAGAAGATAATATTCTGCTACTAATGTATTTTTCCATTTCTAATTTTCAAATTATTGATAAAAAATCTGTTTAGAGTTTTAGAGAAATTTAGATCTCAATAATTTCTTCATTATCTCAACTACAAATCGGATCATTGGTTAATCTTGAATGTGAAGATTGAAGTTGATCATACCACGAAGAGGTTCTATCCTTTAGTTTATATGCAACTAAATTCACTTATATATCATCACAAATTTTCATATATTAAAAAATATTACAAATTTTAAAATATAATCTATAAATTTATATTTTTTCAAATGGTCATTAAAATTATGAAAATCAATTTTATGCTCAAAAATCTCAATTATCATCATAATGAGATCTAGTTTTCAAACATTGTGTCATTTGGAAAACTTTTCTAGGAGGGATGCGCAAACCATTTTCTTTTTCAATATTTTGTGCATGTGAATAAAATTTAAGCACAAACTTACAAGATAAATTTTTCTTCAAATTATCACTCAAATTTTTAAGTTTATGATCAATAATTTATTGATACCCCAGAAATTTCGTCCAAGAAAAGGAGCATAACTCAAAAAATTAATTTTTGTTGGTATGTTTTCTTTTATCTCACGACATCCTAAGAGATGAATTTTATTTGTAATATTACTTGACGGATACTGAGATGCATGGAGTTTAAATCTTGTCACTTAGATGCATCCTAAGATCATTAGCAGGTCATAGCAACGGAATTGGCAAAAGTTATTATTTAAACTACAGTACGATGGTGCTTGGTGGAGTGGACACGTGCATAGGTTTAGAATGTTGAAGTCTGAAAATGAAAAGCTGAATTTCTCGAGAGCTACGTTGTAAGATTTAATTGAGTATAATAAAAAACTCCAATGAACTGGGATTGATGGAATACAATCGTGTCCAATGTGTAACATGTAGAGATGGTTTTTCAAGTATGCTTAGGATGGGAGAGGTCACTCAATAGGTTACGCAAAAGCATAATGATAACTGTTTCAGTGGTCAAAACTTACACTTCAAACACATTTGTTTCCTCTTTCGTGGAGATTTTCCTCAATCTAGTGTGCTGAGAGTTTGAAATACGAAATAACAAGTCAACACAATTTATTGTGTTTGTTTAACCCAAAGAATTAAGAGTTCAATTGCGCACATGGTCAGTTTAATTGGCCGCCGAAGTCATAGTATGGTCGCAGTCCGTAATGCTGCCGGAGAACCGTTGTCATCACAAATTTCCCCCATCAAACCCTATCGAGCATTTGCCTCCGTAGAAACAGAGGGGTTCATGCATAGCCTCTATTTTGAGGAATCCTCATATTGATGATTCCAGGCTTCCCGGACTCGTCACAGACTAAAAGGAACAAGAAGAGGGTAAGTCGTCTCTGCCGTAGCGGGTCCTTCTCCTTCCGCTGAGACGGCCCTCTTTTTTGTTTTGTTCGTTCACCGCGGCACAAAATAATGAAGAAGCTGGAATTGGGCTCGTCGCCTCCGCGATTCATCAGCTACCATGGCTGAATCCGCAAACCAGAGGCCATCAAGCTTCAGGTTTATCCTTTTCCTGATGTATTGAGCGGAATTTGCCGCCGGAAGTTTAGGCACTGTTAGCGATTGGTAAGCAATTTGGGAGAAAGCGGCTGCCAGCGGTGGTAGAACGAGTCTCCTGGTAAAAGGTAAATTGTGACGCATATCCCCCGTCTCTTTCTATAATTTCATCGATTATGTTCTCCCTCTCTCTCTCTCTCTCTCTTAGCTATCATAAAGCGTTGTGTTGGGAAAAGAGCTGCCTTAATATGATGGCCTGGTATTGGAGAGGAAGAACGAGCGCAAAATGTAGAATATCCACAACGCAATATATGATATCAAGAATGACGAAGATGGGAAATAAGTCACCATGGATTTAATGTGGTACGGGGTTAATACACCTTCTCCCGACCACCAAACAGGAAGAGATAAGTTTCAAGATTAATCAGGAACAAGAAACAATAAATGGAGGAGAGAATAAATCTAACCAAACCCACCACAAGGGGAGGAGTTGCCAGAGCCCCATTTTTAACCGCTGGAGAGAGAGGGCCTCTGTTCTGATTTTTCTCTCCCCCAGCCCCCAGTTAATATGCCATTTACAACCATTCCCTGAAATGAAATAAAGGGTGAGGGGAAAAGCCCAGGCGTACCTCTCCCAGCGGGTGTAGCAAGTTAACGTTACAAAAGTCTATTGTCTAAAATCTGCATGGAACCACAGATTGGGAGTCTGTTGAGGTTTTCGAGCGGCCGTTGGATATAATTTCATATCAATCTCTGGACCATGTCTTCTAATGCATCCATTGGATTTTACCATGGCAGAGGTCTTGCAGCCTGTGGTTCAGGCTGCCATGGACACAGGAAACACCTTCACGGTGCTCCCCGTTTCAGCAGTCCTTTTTGTGATATCTCAAGTGACGATAAAGGTTACAGGAGTAAATGATATTTTATGTGACTATGGATGATCTCGAGCAGCAACAAGCCGGACGAGTAGTTGAGCATGACGAGCAGCAAAGAGCCAACAAGATGAACCCATCCATCTATCCCGTGAGACCAACGAATCGAGGTTGCAAATAATACGTCTCGGTGAGGTTCTGTAAACCGTACACGAAAGCCGGTCTGCCGTATTTTTCTGTCATCTAGTGCCCCGGTCATGGCGGTCACAGGTTTGTTCTCCGTTGAGTCAAAGCAGAGCGAAGGCATTGAGATTTCGATGCCATATCGGCTCCCGTTACTTGTTTTCAAGTTGTGGCTCCAGTTTCAGGATAAAACGATATTAATTAATGGGAGTCATGTTAGTAATGGATGAATTCAGTAACTATGACTGAATACATTCCTTAATTGTTTTTCGTCATATTCGATCAAACTTCCGGTGATGGGGAAATAGTGAGCAGATAGTCTCCCCATTCGTCCTGTTACGCTTCATCTTCTGCCTTGTTACATTTCAAAACCCGGGTCGAAGTTATGCCTTGATTTATCTATTTAGGAATTTATTGTAGATTGAAATTTTAATGAGGGCATGTATCGTAATGGAAAACTGTTGGCATACGTTTTACAAAATTATAGGTTAAATTACTCATCACAGGTTAAAAATATGGACCAAGTCCTGAGGTTGGCCATACTTCAACAGTCCTATGGCGGGGTCAGCACTTCGTTGCCGCCTACGGAACGTGCCCATACGACTAGTTTCTATTACCTTTTTTTTAACACCATGTGGACATTTTGACTCTTAAACGGTCAGCGAAAATAGGAAAATCGGCCACCTTCTCGTGCCAATCACATCTGGTGACGTTCAGCCGTATCTCGTACAATTTCTGGTGTCCACGTCGTTGTTCCTGCGAGAACTTCGACGTTCCGTCCCGCCTGCCGGTACTTGCTGACTGGAACTGCAATAGTCGACTTTCTGGCTTTTCCCAGCTCTCGGCAGGTATACGGGGAAATTTCAAAGTCAACGCCGTAGGGAGCTTGCAAGTTGAATAGTGATTATGAGAGAGACCAGAAGCCATCGAAGATTGTTTCCATAACTTTTGAACGGTTTATAATCATGTCACGGAGGACGAATTTGTGAGTCTTCTCCGCCACGGTACATCAAGAAGACAATATACGCAAGTGTTTCTTCAACGATGCCAACGAATTGAAACTAGGAACATTAATTGGATGGACTTGAGGGTAGTAGAAAGTCATAAATTAAATAAACGGATGGAAGAATCAAATGAAATTAGTTGAGGGTAGATGGAAGAATTAAATTAACCAGGAAAACTAATTAAATTAAGTAGGAAAATAATTGAATTAATTTTGCCAGCACTTCATCTTCATGTATCAGTAGTGCAAAACGTAAAAACAAATAAAAGAGTAAAAAAACAGGCTGCTAAAATAAATTGCACATGAAATGTCACTATACTTTCGGGAGTTCTGGCAGATGGAAACGGGGGGTCAACATCTCCATTAAAAAAGTTGACGCTTAGATAGGTCCATGCGGTATCCACTACCAGCGAAAAAAGTCCTTGGTCAGCCAAATATACCCGAGAATTTCTGACTTAGCCAACTTACGCGGTTATATATAGCGGGCTCCTAATACTCCTTTCTCAGATATATCACGCTCTCGCACTCTCTCTTTCCCACCAACTCCTCGTTCTATTTTGGTCGATCCCAACAGCCATATTTGCATCATCTTACCCATCATAAACACCTTATCCGTCGTGAACATGACAACCCAAAACGCAGACATAACAAGGTTTTCAAGCTGTCGTGGGGTTTCATTTGAGATCCATACCCATTCCAGTCCCTTCGCAGTCCCCGCCCGGCTCAACGATGCCAACCAACCTCCCTACCGCTGGCTCCGCCTGCCATGGACATTGGGAAACTCCGTCAAGATATTCCCCGCGCAAGTTAACAGTATATCATCACTCAGCCGTTCGAGCAGTCACTTTTGTGACGTCGAAAGAGATGATGAAGACGAGAAGCACGGGCCTCTGCCTATCTTCCAGGAGGTTTCCAACGACCTCGAGAAGCAACAGCCCGGGCAAGCACTGGAGCCGCGCGAGCAGCACACAGGTGACAAGGGGGATCGTTCCGTCACACCCGTGAAGACCAACGAATCGAGGTTGTCGATAATACTTCTCGACCAGGGTCTCTTCACCGTATACAAGAGGCTCTTCGCCGTATTCTTTACCGTCAACATGGCTGCCCTCGTTCTGGCGATCGCCGGGAACTTCTCCTACGCCGAGCGGAAGGCTGCGACCTTCGCCATCTACAATGTGCTCGTCCTCACTCTGTGCCGGAGCGAGGCCTTCCTCCGGCTCGTTTTCTGGTGCTCCGTGAAGGCCTTGGGAAGGCCGTGGGTGCCTCTCCGGATGAAGACGGCCACCACCTCGTTTCTCCAGTCCGTCGGCGGCATCCACAGCAGCTGCGGCGTGTCCTCCGTGGCTTGGCTGATCTACGCCCTGGTACGGACCCTCAAACACCGTCATAACGCGTCTCCCGAGATCATAGCCGTAGCATCCGCCATCCTATCGCTGCTCTTCGTCTCCTGCCTGGTGTCGTTCCCCCTGGTTCGCCACCTCCACCACAACGTCTTCGAGCGAACCCACCGATTCGCCGGATGGACGGCGCTGGCTCTTCTGTGGGTATTCGTCGTGCTCACTGCCGGTTATGATCCCAAATCAGAATCATACGACAAGCTCAACGCTTCAAGGTTGGCGAAGCAACAGGAGATCTGGTTGACCCTGCTCGTAACCCTTCTGACCGTCCTCCCATGGGTCACCGTGAAACGAGTATCCGTGTCGGTGGCCTCTCCTTCCGGCCACGCCTCCATCATTAAATTTGCGGGCGGCGTGAAAGCCGGACTTCTGGGCAGAATCAGCCGTTCTCCGCTGTCCGAGTGGCACGCCTTCGCAATCATATCCGACAACAAGGAGGGCCACATGATGCTGGCCGGAGCGGTGGGCGACTTCACCAGGGGGCTGGTGTCCGATCCTCCGAGCCACCTCTGGGTCCGCGGGGTGCACTTCGCGGGACTGCCGTATTTGGTGCATATGTACAACAGGGCGGTGCTGGTGGCCACCGGCTCCGGCATCGCCGTGTTCCTCTCGTTCCTGTTGCAGCCGTGCGCCGCCGAAGTGTGCGTCGTTTGGGTGACTAAGTCGGTGGATCAGAACTTCGGCTCGGAGATCAAGGAGATGATGAGCGGGCATCCGGCAGGGAAGGTGATCATCCACGACACGGCCGTATCCGGCCGTCCGAACGTGGCCGAGTTGGCCGTTGAGACGGCGAAGAAATGGAAGGCGGAAGTGGTGGTGGTGACAAGCAACCCCCAGGGCAGCAGGGACGTCGTCGATGCATGTAGAGGTGAAGGCATCGCGGCATTCGGGCCGATCTGGGACTCGTGAGACATACTCAAAGGTTAACATCTATTTCGTGTCCACGTTGCTCGGAAATTGATTCATGGCAGGGGATTAATCCCCGGCCAGTCTATGTTATAGTCAATTTGATATTTCTGTGACACACTTTAAAAGGTAATGTGACTGTTTGAAGTTTTCATTATATGATTTTAGTAAAACGGAAATTAGGATACTTTGCATCAGTTTCAGAGAGTATAACTTCGTAGGTAATGACCAAACAAATATGCATGCCAATTAGGCTTCCTCTCTTGCGGAGTGGAAAACAGTATATTTTTTCAGCAAGGCAGCTTTCTCTATTTCGAATGTATTTTGAGTTAGGAGGTCAAATAACTATAGCAATCCTATTTTGAGAAAGAAACAATATATAGTAGAATTAAATTAGCATGTCTATTGTGACATAGAAACTTATTTCTACATGTTCCTTATGCATTAGCTAGTCAAAACGAAGCTTTGATTAGGATCTGAAATGAGAATTCTGAAATTCCTTCATGAGATCATGAAAGTTCCCAATTTTTTGGCTTTGACAAGTGATTATAATTTTGTAGATTTCTGGCCTAGCATCAATATTTTGAAAATGTTCTCCATTTCGGTTTTACTTTTTTTCTGAGAAAGAACCAATAATGGCAAAGGTTTTAATTGTTAGAGTCCAATTGGACAAACTTATACAACTAGGTTTGCATCCTGAAAGTTCATCAAGTATTTACAAAGAAAAATTGACCTTTTCTAGGCAGTCTTTTTAGGATCTAGGTAAATGTCATATTTGCGTGTTTCAGTAGAAAATCATCCCCGATTAAGGTGTCTACCATGCAAAAAACTCATCCCAAAGAGGGATAACTTTGCTAGGGTCTCCTTGTCCCAAGGAGACCTTAGTCCTATTGACATTTCTGTTGAGTTATGGATTAATTCAGTATTATTTTGATGATTTTTTCAGATTAGTTTGAAATCATGAAAATTATAATATTGAATTAAAACTGTACGGTAGAAAAAAAATCTTGATTATAGTAGTAACTTGAAACATTGTACAATAAATTGAATTGGTGATCTTAATTATAAAAAATATCTTTGACAAATTAAATTCTTGTTAGGATATAAATAGTAAAGATGTATGAGCATACATTTAATAACAAATACTTTCGAGGTAAATATATCATCATTCTATGTGTGAACTTTAATTTTAGATTATTTGTATTAAATAATTCAATAATATAAACATAAAAAACATAAGGAAAACTCTTTGAATGAGGAGTCAAAAGCAACAAAGTCCATGAGAAATTATCAAGTTATTGAATTGATATTAATTTTATAAAATTAATATATTTTTTTGAAATTCAAAATCCAGAAGCGGGAAGCAACAAATTTAAGACCGTTAGATATCTTTTTTGACCGAAAAGGCCAAAGATTATAAAAAAATATTTTGCCTAATTTCGTAATGATAATATTACGAAACAATGAGAAGAAAATATCAATCTGGTGGTCCTCAAATCTCTCACTCAATTATATTTCAATCTTAGTAAGTTTGGCCATCTTTGAGTGAAAATGATGGAATGATTGAACCAATCAACGCCTCATCTCCAGTCAACTCAATGGAGCCAACTCAAGAAGATGATCAACCTCAAGTGGAATCTCCTCCAGCATCAAAACCTCTCCTCCCAAGAAGGCCATCCTTTCATTGGGTCCTGGGCGACTTGTCCCCGTTTAAGAGAGCATTCAGTGCGTACGTTTCGCCCGCTGCCGGTGGCTTTCTACGGTAGATTAACAGGCAGCCAACTTCGTCAGGGATTCGATACAGTGTACTAGGTTGACGGGCTGAAGGGTGAACCTTGCCGTAGAGGCTCAGAACATGCACAGGACGGTGGGAATGAGTGCCAGTGGCGGAAGCCGAAGGAATACGTGGGGCAATGCTAGCGAGCGAGAAGAGCACACACAGCGACCTGGCACATGCAGGGACAGAGAGACCGAGCGGACCGATTTGCGGGCTGTGAGAGAGAGAGAGAGAGAGAGAGAGAGAGAGGGGCATCGAATGGATCTGCCAGGAAGAAGCGCGGAGGATATGCCTAAGAACAGTTGATGCTGAGAAGGAACGGCTGCCACACAAGGAGAAACACTCATACATACTCGGAGATGAGGTGCCCTACGACTTTGCTTTTATTTTCAATGCTGTAAAGCCTGAACGGTCCTCTTCGGGCTTCCCTAAGACCAACGCTTGCAGTAAAGAAGAACAAGGAGAAGCACATTGGCAAGGATAATTTCCCATTTGCTACGTAGAACCCAGTGCCCCAAACTTCTCACGTCCCCTGAGAGAGAGAGAGAGAGACAGACAGAGAGCTTAGAGGTCTGGACGGAAGATCGAATCACAAAGAGAGAAAAGGAAACATATAACATCCACTGCATCACTTTCGAAAACTTATTTCCGTATCCAAATGATGCGGCATGGCAAGAAAATCAGCTAGTAAGATTGTGATGACTAAAACTGATTGGTGGGTTCGTCCGATTGCTTGAAACCTTATTGTAAAAGTGCGACTTCTCCATTCGACTTCGCTTCATCCATTACGGGTCACGTTTTACAATATAAATAATGAAAACCGGTATTCAAAATAAACAGCCAGAGTTCAAGGATATCGTCTAAACATGGCCCTTTACTAGGCGGGTCAATCTGTGACGATTATTTAATCCGGCCGACTGATCACTACTAAGCAGCAAGCAATCACGCAACCACGCGGATCATTTGTTAACACTTCAGCTGGACTGTTTGACGAAGAACACCTTGATTCACTATGTCAATGAGACTCCCAATGCGCCAAACTTACATGATTAACTGCCTCAGTCTGATGGCCTCGATTCCACAACTCCGAAGGTTCCTCCGAGACGACCTCAGATCTCTGTTCCCCCCGCTCTCCCTCAGCCAATCTTTTCTCCTTATATTTACCCGGGAAAAAAGAGAAGACAAAAACGACATGGCAGTAACAGTGGGCGACTTCATTGTCCGAACTCCATTGACAGTACCATTAAAGAATAAGTCATAGTTCTTTAGTGAGCGTTGTAAGTCGACCAAAGACAATCAACAATTGTATCGTCGATTCTGTACAACTATCAGGTGAGTAATCTCTGGTTTCCCTGCTCCTCGAGCTCGAAGGCCGAGGCCGGGTAGGTCTTCGAGAGTCCCGCGGGCGTCCTGAAGGTGATCTTGGTGGTGTCCTTGGGGTTCACAAAGAACTCTCCCAGCGGGATCCAGACGAGCATCTCCCTGGACTTCACCCCCGTCACCCGCCGCATGCGGCGGTCCTCCACGAAGCCCGTGACCTCGGCGCCGTAGGAGACGAGGCGGCCGGCCTTGCGGAAGGTGTAGTTGAGGGCCTTCTTCTGGCGGAGCCACACGAAGCCGGTCTGACGGTTGATGCCGATCTCCTCGACGTTCTCGATGGGGAGGAGGCCCCTGGGGAGGTTGAGTTCCTCGAGGAGGTCGATGGCCTTCTGGCGGCAGAGGTCGTCGCCCGTGTAGATCTCCGCGCCGGGGCGGTGGGCCTCGATGGTCTGCTGCGCCATTGGTGGAACGTGGTTCTGCGGTGGGGTTACGGGCGGGGCGGATCGGTGGAGCAACCGGTGTCTGAAGGAGAAGAAGAAGGTGACGACCCGTCGGCCGGAGAAGAGGAGGAAAGAGAGCTGGCTGATGAAGTGAGGTGATGGGTGCGATGGAGGCGAGCGGGAGGGATACTTATATAGTGCGGTCTTCGCGGGGGACGGATAAGGGAGACGGCTGGTTTAGCGTGTGCGGCGCACAGCCTGGCGCGGGACCGTGGGACGGAATGGACCAGAGGCTGCCGTTTGGCTGGCACGGGTTCTCAGGGGACGGATGAGAAGCTCTGGCTTGGTCGTCCGGGTGAGTGGAATCGGGGGTGTTGAATGATCTTCGAAACTGGCGGCGAGGCAGGCGGTTGTTCAATGTCCGATGATCCACGGGAACGCCGGCATGGGCCTTTGGATTGAAACACTCTAGTTATCATCACCTAAGGATGCCACCTGGCCCTCATAAGTACACAGCGACTTCTGACGGAGAAAACGAAGCGGGGATGTGGGACCCACGCGATTATGGTCCCTTCCTTATGGGTTTTAATAGCATCCGTGACAAAAGGGAAGCCAGTGGTAGTGAAGGTCAACTGAGGGAGGGGCAGAATCACGTTGAATGGAAACGTTCCAAACATGCTGGAAACGACGAGCATCAAGATTCTCCGGCCTTGGTAAATTTTCGGTTAGGGATCTGGTCTGCGAATGACTTCACAAGGTGGAGTATCTACGTATGGGGACGTGAGACACTGTGCCCACCCTCTTTTGCCAACACTCCCTGCCTCTCCGCTTAGTTATCGCTCTCACTTGCATAGTCGGTGGTCCGTCCCCGCGCCCCCCCGCCTCGCGGTTTCTCTAGTATCCATGTCTCTCCTTCTGCCTCACCGGTTCCACATTTCCGCCACTCTCGAATGTGCGCTCAAACATCCGAGGCAATTGTGGACCAGGCAATAATCCCTAATCCAAGGGTGGACTATTTCAGATAGTGAGGGTTACTGCATGGGGTGCGGGGGAGTTAGGGTGTGAAGAAATCGTATACATCAACGTCAGATACAGATTCGGAGCCGGCCGACAGACTTTAAGACCGAACTGGAGGCTACTAGGTTCTTGGAGGGAGGGAGGGACGGACGATGAATTGAATGCTGTTCCAACCCGGCAGTCCGAGGTCAAACAACTGCGTACAAGGCCGTCCCTCAGAGCAACCAATAAATACCCGCCGGATCAGCTACGACGGCAGCGAAAGCACAACCTCCCATTCATCCCCCCAACCCTAGGCTCCCAAACCTTTGCCGACTAATCGCCGCCTTAAGTCCATTCCCTCAGTATCGTCGCACGCCCGGATGTGACACCCACGCGTTATACCATCTGTCCGTCCTACAAGTCACTCGGGGAAACCGTGCTCTATAAGAACCCACCCCGCTCTCCCC